CCTCTCGTCTTACACTGCTAAATTAGGGACGCTAGCGCAGATAGCCCTCGTGTAGCTTTGCGCGAAATTCAAAACAAACAAACAAACAACTATAGTACCAAACATTTAAGATTTAGCTTTCTGTACACATCTTCCAGTTTGCTTGGTTAATGAGACTTTCATGTACATGATAATATAGGCAGCGATCGTGACTCCTTATATTTTATCTTTGCTTTAACCACAATAGCATATTTTAAATCCATCAACTAGGATGCCTTTAAAACAAATGTCAATAAACTATTCCAACATATTATTAATTATTTTACTTATTCCAATAACTTTAACTATTCGGTTATAGGTATGACTTTTATCGAACCATTCAATTTCTCTGTTTCTACTAAGCATTTTCTACATACCAACAAATGAAATTAACTCAAGGAATTTTACGCATAAATACAAACGCACATAACATGTAAATGAGATCCTTCGATATTATCCATTCCCCGACGAAGCTGGCACTAGAACCTTTAATTAATCAAGCAAGTTCAAATTGGAAAATCTTATTCTTTCCATCAAAGTATAAACTAGCAATTGTTTTCGTTAATCTGATTACGAAAAAAAAATGTTTCTAAATTTAAAAACACCATTTTGCACATTTTACGAAACATGTTCTGAAAATAGTTGGTTTATTATTAAGCGCAAAGCTCCACATTGAGCTATTTGTGCTGTGCCTACCGCAGATATCGAAACCCACTTTTTAGTGTTATAAATCACAACCGTAATTTCCATTTTCTTCGTACCCACAGTAACGATATTGTTCATGAAGCTACTTAATATCCTTCCTTCCTCTCCGGCACCCAGTGACACAGCGGTATGTCTGCGGACTTACAACGCTAGAAACTGGGTTTCGATACCCGTGGTGGGCAGAGCATAGATAGTCCATTGTGTAGCTTTATGCTTAACTTTAAACAAACAAACCCTTCCCATGTGTGATAGAAAAATCGATATTAAATATCTAAAGAATACTAGTGCTGACTAAAAACAGTATTAAATTGTTCAAAACATCATATCTCTAATGCTTTTATTTTTCTTTTAATTTTTGGAAAAAATGTCCCTAACTTTGAAAAATAACAACAAATTTTACTGCAAAATAACCACTGATTTAGTCTCCTTAACTATGAAGTTTCTACAAGTAATACTACCAATCAATTCACTTGCATGAACTGGTTACTAACATCTCTAACCTCAGTCTTAATAATACCAGCTGATGGATTTCAAACTTTTTGTTCAATAGAACAACTAGAATCAAAATCATTGCCTATCTGGAATTATCCACCTTTCCAGTAGAAGTTTCCAAAGTGTCTTTCAACTACCCCTTTCTATACGACTTACTTAGAAGTCAAACTTCCATTTCTTCTGCCATTTTTGAAATACCAACAAAACGAATACAATTTTGTTTTATTACCAATTTTAGATCTAGTGCACACTGTGAGTTTGAAATCTGTAATGGACTGACACAAAGCTCAACATTTCTATTACAAATTCATGCATTACGGTTTCGTTTGTATTTCGCGTAAAGTTACACGAGGGCTATCTGCGCTAGCCGTCCCTAATTTAGCAATTAAAGACTAGAGGGAAGGCAATTAGTGATCACGACCCACCGCCAACTCTTGAGCTATTCTCTTACCATAGTGGGATTGACCGTGCCATTAGAACGCACCCACCACTGCTGATAGGGTGAGCATGTTTTGGGGGACGCGACCCTCAGATTGTCAGTCAAGTGCCCTAACCACCTTGCCATGCCGGGACCCCGCAATACGGAAGACACAATGATCTGAAACGGGTTATAACAAACAGAGCGAAACCTCGTCTCATGTGAAAAACAAGGCAAGAGCAGTCCATTACAAAAACTTGACCCGTCTCGTGTTCCAGGTGAAGAGTTCCTCTCAGTCCAAAGTGGTTTACCAATCTCTTAACAAACATATCTAAAACTGAGAAGATTTACATAATGAGTCTTCTTTCTCCTCTATATGCTGGGAGTGGCCTTGTGGTTAGCATGCTTCTACTGTGATTCCGAGGGTTCATTGTTCGCGGTCTGTTGCCGCAAAGCACGATCTACACCTTGCGGCCGTGGGTGCGCTATATAGGAGTGACGGTAGAATAACACTGTTTTATCAGACAAGAGTAATTGAAGAGTTGGCGATGTTCTGTTGACCAGTTAACTTCCCTTGAGTCTAACAGTTCAAAACTACGTATGGGTATGGCTATGCGCACGCAGATAGCCCTTTGTATAGCTTTTCGCAAACATTCTAAGGCAAATAAAACTTTTTATTCTCTTTTGATAAACCTACCGAATATTTGGGCCTAATGTTGAACATTATACTATCATAAGCAATATATATAGGACCTGATACTATCACAAACTATATATATATATTTAAATCATCAATAAGAAAATATAATAAACATTCTATTTCTGTGCAGAATAACAGGTACAGATAAAGACGGTTCCAAATTATTATTCTAAAAATCTAAAAACAAAAACTGTAATATTCTCATGAAATATTTTAGCTATTCAAAGTAATTAATTCTTAGTACTGACCGGGTTAATATCGATCACAAGTTATTAAAATATCCCAGTTTGAAATATTTTTGAAAAATAGAAAACTTTTATTACCCGGTATTTATCCTTGGCTTACTCAGTGCCTATCTTAAATCTTTAAGGCATTCCTAACATACTCAATAGCTATTTTCAAGTGATAAGGCATTTATGACTTGCTCAATGGTGCGTTGTTTTCAGAAAATTGTGTGTACAATTCTTATATACGTTCACAATCAGTGGCGAAAGTATGTCCCTGCAGCCCTCGCAAGTACGGGGGTGGGGTGGTGGAGCCAAAAGGGAGACCGAATCAGCCAGAAACGTAACTACAATTATAGAGAAATAAATGTAGGGGGCCAGATTACTTTATATGCGGGGGGGGGGGCATCTTTTGTAGTTACGCCACTGTTCGAAATAATATATTTAAATAATCCAGTAAGGTAAAAACTTAAATATTTCAGAAGTGAGGCTGTAAAAGTCGAAAACGTTTTTGATTACAGCATAGATGATTATATTGTTTTCATGGTGAGATGGTTTTTGTTCGTAGTTTCTTAGTGTTGCTGTTCTTCCTATCGAAGTGCAATTTCAGTAAATACCAGACACTCTGTTTTTATTATAATTTAAATATCGTCGAAATAAGGTACTGTTGAGAAAACGAGGAAAAACTACTTTTTGTTTTAGTTCAAACAGTTTGTGCTAACAATTTGTGAATAATCTATTGTATTGTGGTTCGTCAAGATTATAAATATATATATATATATCATTGCAAACAACACAATTAAAACCGAAAAGGAAAATCGCAAAATAAAAATACGTACGCAATGGCGTCGATCATATCTAATCCCATCTCTACACAGCATTGAGCGTGGTCTGATCTCGGCTCGGGGAGTCCACTAACACAGTAATAACAATCCCCAAGAAGTTTGATCCTTAGGCAGTGGTTTTTCTGTAAAGACACAAATATGAGATCCATATTTTTTCTTGTTGATTTTTACTCTATACCTTTTGATAAACAGACCTGACGTCTTGCCAGTTTCCGTGTTTACAAACTCATATTAACAAGCATGAAGATGAAATAACTTACGTTAGCCATCTAATAATTACATGTTATATTTCATATATATATATATGAAAGTTAGTGTGGGGGAAAAAAGCTCAAATTTAAAAAATTAACTTTATTTTTCGGATCATCTGAAAAGATCACAATTAAAAACCATGGTAATTTCCAAGGAAAGTTCATATGATTTCTAGCTTCTCAACAAAGCCCCTCGTCTCTTTTAGTATGCAAGATTTCAAATAGGATTATGTTATAACACCTCAGCTTCTCATTAACGAAGAGAAATATAAAAATCATTAATGAATATTCAGATCATTTTAAAATGAACATATCGATCTGGACAACACAGTTGAGAACGAGATATTCAGTTATGCAAACAAAAAATATAAAATAAATATATAAACATGCGTTTAAATTCTCTATCAGCAAGAGTATATGGTACCAGGTTGCTTTAACGATAAAGACGTGATGCAATGTTGATTTATTCCAATAACTATATTTTTAATTTTCAACAACCAATATGCTCTTATGTTTTGAAAGTTTTTTTTATTTATCTTTTGCTTTAATGTATTCTGCTCTTAGAATTATACGTAATAATCAGGTACGTAAAATACTCAAAGTACAGAAATACCTACGACAATAAGAAAAAAAACTGTAAAATATTTCATTGTACGTTGGTTTTCTCGGATGCCTTATTTTTTGTTTTGTTTAACAAATACTACATAATAATAAGTTACTCGTCAATATTAATAGTTAAATAGAGCAGTTTCCTATAACTTGCACTCAACGGAAAAGTTTTTTTAAATACAAAGCTGCTATTTTTCTAGTGCAAAACTATACAATAGGTTATCTGCGCTCTGTTATCCGCAAGGAGTTGAACCCCGGATTTTATCGTCATAAATCTGTATACTTACCGTTGACCTACTGGGTTAAGGAAGTTTGTTTGTTTTTCTAATTTCGTGCAAAACTACACGAGGGCTATCTGCGCTAGCCGTCCCTAATTTACCAGTGTAAAAGTAGAGGGAAGGCAGCTACTTTTGGGTTGCTCTTTTACCAACGAATAGTGGGATTGACCGTCACATTATAACGGCCCACGGCTGAAAGAGAGAGCATGTTTGGTGTGATGGGGATTCGAACCCGCGGACCTCGGATTGCGAGTCGAGCGCCCTCACCACCTGGCGATGCCGGATCGAGTGTTGAGGAAGAGAAAAGCGCTTTTTCTTTAAAATGTCAATAGTGTTGTGTACAAAGGTCAAAATTAGTGAAACATAATTTGGATAGATGAAATGAAAAAACAACAGTTTTTTTATTCCGTAAGCTATCGAGTTACACCAATAAGAAAAACCTAAACACAATTTCTTCACCAAAGATACCCCACAATAGACTAAATATGACGTCAACGTTCTATTACTACTGATCAACTGGTCTGGCGTGGTCTAGTGGTTAGGATTCTCGATTCGTAATCTGTGGCTCGCGGATTCGAATCCCCGTCACTGAATATGCTCGCCCTTTCCGCCGTGTGAGTGTTATAATGTGACGATCAATACCACTATTCATTGGTAAAAGAGTAGCCCAATAGTTGGTGATAGGTGGTATTGACTAGCTGCCTTCCCTCTAGTCTTACACTGCTAAATTAGGGACGGCTAGCGCAGATATTCCTCGATTAGCTTGGCGCGAAATTCACAACAAAACAAACCTATTGGTCGATGTGTACTAGTCGGGCGACATCTTAAAGCAGTCATTACTCTTAGTTACTACCTATTTCTTGTATACAAATATAACAGTGTAACTATGTAACAAGATGATATTTCAAGCCGAAATTAACTTCCACAAATTAGGTCATACCTATATTATGGACATAACACATTACAGTGGGTATCGTCAGCATATTTTCTAATTGTAAAAGAATTGAAAATAATAATAAAAAAGTCAAAATTATTTAACTTGTAGTATGTAAAATGTAGGCCTATACAATATAAGAAAGATCTTTTGTTTGTTTTGTTCTTTAGCACAATGGTACACAATGGGCTATCTGTGCTCTGCCCACCAAGGGTATCGAAACCCGGTTTTTAGTGTTATAAGTCCTTACCGTTAAGTCACTGAAAGGTAATATACCAAAGATATGATGAAAATGTTTGTTAAGAAAATACTGTATTTTGTAACTTTATATATTGCTATGGACATTGTAATATCACTTTGAAATGAATTTAATACATTTAAGATAATTCGTTTCTGCCAATATTTAATGGTCTTGTAATGTCGATGTATCTCTTCATATCTTTTTTGATTTATATTCTGACAACTTCGTTATATGAATATGTATGCGAAACCATGTAATTCTCAAGTAAATAAATCTAGAAATATTATATGTAGATCTATGCTAAAGCAGCAATTTCATATTTTGGTCTTGGAATTATGACTAGTCAGTATGTTAACGGATTTGGTACACAGTTGTTTCTAGTTTGATATTTAAAGTTAAACATACATCAATAATAGTATAAGAAATATAATACATTGTATTGTATAGTAAAGTACAGTACAGTATAGTATAGTATAATACAGTGCAACGTAGTATACTCATAGATATCATTGCCTCAACTAATTGTAATTTATTCTAATATCATTTCCTGTAGTGCGTGATTTGATTGGTGGAATATTTTGTGTAACGTTGTACACGAAATCTTGGACAGGATCTTTTATAAGATCCTAGCGAACTCAGACTACACAAAATTCAATACATCTTACAAGATGCGTATTCTAGTAATCTTACACAGGATTCAATCAGTTCTGTAGACCCAGTGTGAAATACATTTTAATGTGATTGAATAATACTGGAGTACAACTAAAAAAAGGGGGTTGTTTGTTTTAGAGCCAAACCACATTGGGCTATCTGAATAATTTGTTGTATTCAACATACACTGGAGCAAAAGAATTGGTCAATTAGTATAGTTCCTTAAAAAATTATGTGAAAATATGGTTGTTGGTTATGGAATTAAATCTCAAAAACTGTAAATGCAAATTAGGTATAATTAGAATCCAAGCTCCTAAGGAGCTGGTACTCTATTTACTGTTCGGATTATTATTACTATATATTGATTTAGCTCACGCCTTTGCAAGGCGACTTTTAACATTACCAAGTAGGCTTGTCAAAGTACAATACGTTAGTTTTGCATATACACTGTAATAAACTATAAACACTTACAAAAATTAGCAAAAAAATATATACTGTAATAGATTCGCTCATTACAGGGAAAAGCATCAGAACAAAGTAAAATTAATTAAGTGGGAATGGAAGGGTACAAATTAAGGTTAGAATTAGTCCAATAGAAATTATAGGTTAAAGTCGTTCAAGAGTTCAAAAGGCTTTTTTTTTCTTGTTCAGTATTTTTTGTAACAATTCAAAATGGGAAATAAAATAAAAGAGAAATATAACACAATGCTAAAGAGGGACACAAAATATATAAAGATTATAACTATGAGTACGGAAAGAGAAAGGAGTACAAGATATAAAAAATGTACGGTATTAGGAATAATAGAGAAATCCAGCATTAGGTAAAAATAAAAGGTGTATTATAATAGGTATTAAATAAGAAAACATTAATTCTTAAGTTTCATAATTTTTTATCCATCGTTTTTAACGAATTTAAGTAAAGCACCAACCACTGACAAATGTTGTAACTGAACACTTACACTACCTTATTTGCATTCATGAATAATATATTTATATATTTCAAAATAGTAATAAAGTTTACAATATATTAAAAACAAAACAGAAATCAGATAACTCAAAATAGAATAGAACATCATATTACACGGCCAATCGAAGCCTTAAATGTGAGAAACGACCTAAAATTATTTTTGTGAACAAGAACTTCTATATCTAACATATGCAGAGACACTCGTTACTGTTGGAGCATTAACCGCTGCTCCAAAATGGCGGCCATGTGAGATGCTTTGGGAGCCCCACTGTCGTATGTAGTCTAATTACAGGATATCTGTGGTCTTAATGCAGACAGTGAAAATGCCAATTTAAAGCTATTTTACCCATTTTTTATGCTGCTGTCAACTGTCAGTCTTCTAGTTATCATGCATTTCAAGTAAAAGTGCAAGGAAGTGTCGTCTCAAGTTCAAAAGTTTAAGGGTTTCGAAAATATGGATTAGTGAACAGCGAGTCAACATACTTGAATTAATGAGTACAATAAACTTTCAGTTAAAGTCACCGAATTAACTGGAAGAGTGATTTAGAGTAAATAGGAGGAGACTGTTCCATAATTCTTCAAGGTTCGGGTTGGCCTTGAATTCCGTAGCTAGCAAATAGAGTTAGAAACCGTGCTTTACCACAAAATATTCTCTCACTTTAAGTTATGGGTGCTTTATAAGAGTGACAGCCAGTCATCAGCGTAGATGGTGTGTGATAGGGTGCTGTTGACTGGCTGCCTTTTCTCTAGTCAGTAATTCAAAATAAGAGATAATGGCAGCTAGTAGCTTTGTTACAAGTTCCATAATTTTAGTGATATTTTTGCTTGTCTGTTGAATTTTACACAAAGCTACACGAGGCTATCTGTGCAAGCCGTCCGTAATTTTGAAATGTTAAACTAGAGAGAAGGAAGTTAGTCAACACTACCCACAGACTACTCTTGGGAAATTCTTGTCAGATCAGAAAGTGGGATTTAACTGCAACTTTTATTTTGCACTCACCGCCCCAAAGTGTGTAGCGTAATTTTGCGGGAGGGGGGTGGGGTACTAAAGGAGAACAAACCATGCAACCTCAATCCACAGTCCGCCGCCGCGCTTGGCTTGTCAATTTTTATGTTAACAAATCATTAGTATTAGGTCGTAAAGAAATTAATGTCGCTTTTTATTAAATGAAAAAAACCCGAACAACTTAT